AGCTGAGCTCCGCAATCCCAAATCATTGTGTAAATGGCTCCATTTGTGGCCACGGTGAGCCCTTGCGCTAGGTGCATTAGGCATAGTTCTGCAGCCCTTGGGAATCCAGCAGCAGCAACAGTTCCTTGCTCTTGCATTGCCAAAAGATAAAGCTATCTAAACAAATATAAAATTCACACTTACATAGTGAAGTTAATCATGCAAGATGTTTTGCTCGCTGTTTCCTGCTCCCGTGTGTCTGGAGCTGCCTTTTTCTTTTATAAAGCGTCACACCACAGGTATAGAGACACATCCCAGCTGCAAAAACATCAAATGGCTGAAGACATGCTGAAGATTAACGTGGCCAATACTCATCTCAGATGTCAGATAGCTAATATTCCCCCAGCAGTGCTCACACGGGTTTTGGAACCATCCACTTTAGACCTAATATATAAGAAGGGGAAGCTGGGGTTGTGTATGTGCCGTGTATCCTGATGTTCTCCAAAGCAATAGAAAAAGCTTTTTAAAAATTTCCGTCCTAACAGTTCTTCTGTTTTATTCGTTCCCTCTATTTTAAGCTCTCAGGTATTCACATTGGAATGAATACCTGAGAAAATTGACTGGCCTGGTCTTCTTGTTCTCTGGCAAGAAATATCTCAGAGCAGGCATCCCGCCTCTGACCTCGACAGCCCGCTCTGCGATGACAAAGCGTCTCCCGGCCGCGCTCGCTCGGCCCCCGGCCCCTCTGCCGCAGCCCAGAGGAGGTGCCACAGCCAGGGCATTCCCGCTCTGCCCAGCGCCGCCAGCTCGGCAGCCCCGCGTCGGCCACAGCCAGGGGATTGCGAGGAACTGGCCCGCAGAAGAGTTTCAATTTTAGCAGATCCATCCACATTATAAACCAGCAGCTTAAAGTCTAGCTGGCTAATTAGGTCCCCAGCTTAGAATATTGATTTTGGTTTTAAACACTTCTTTTTTTGCCTTCGTTCCAACCCCATAGCCTGTCTCAGGCTTAAATCGCATAGCCGTATTCAGCAGACTAAGTGGCTGTAACAGCAGCTGCCCCGTGACACCCAGCGTGCTTGAAAAATATTGGAAAATATTATAATAAACTCTCTAAAAGGAGATAATTTTCAGCATTTCAGCTTCAAACCACCTCAATCCTGGCCCCGATTCTAGGAAGTACGAATAAATATTGGCAAACTCTGTTCCCAACTTTTTACGTTGTACGACGGCCGTCAGCGTAGCAGCAAAGGAAAAGAAGGAACGCACATTTGGAACAGATTTAAGACGCGTTTCACTGATCCAAATTGCCTTGAACCTGGTGCCTCGAATCGCAGTGTAACATTGCCACCAGGCGGGCAAACGCTCCCCGTTGGCGTGCCAGCCTCCGGCCTTTGGGGAGGCTTGGCCGAGCTGGAGGGGCCCACGTTTCACCGCCCCGGACCCCCCAAAACAAGCGGGCATCATTCGGACACCTGCACATCGCCCCGTCCCGCTGGGAGCGAGCCAGCAGCACCGCTGGCCCCAGCTCAAACCGGGATGTTTTTAGGCAGGAAGGCGGCGAAGGCTGGGGTTCCGCGTTGGAAAGCTGGCCGAGGGAGCAGCGGGAGCACGGGAGACGGCAGGCCGCCCAAGCCGCCTACCAGGCACCGCAGTTTCGGAAATGTCATTGGTCTCCCCCCGCCGCACGCTTTTTCCGAAAGCGCTTTGCTGGTGATAACACCCCGCAGCCATCGCGCGTTCGGAAAGACGCGCGCTCGCTGCGGGAAAGGCTTGAACGCACACGCGGCGATCCATCGGGAAGCGGCGTCGGTGTTCCAGGCAGCGAGGGGTGACGGAGGACCCATCGGTTGTGTCGCACCACCTCGGTAAGCGAACAACAGCTTACACAAACCTGCGCGAAACTCCCCAACACTCCGATAAAATTGAAGGCCACCTAAAGCTTCTTATTCCTTGCTGCAGGAGAGAACAATTAGGAGAAGCAGTGACCGGGCCACTCGGCTTCCTCCGCTCCCGAAAGCTGGCCGAGAAATCGCTTTCACAAATCGCAGCCTGGTTACAGCGCAGGGACAGGGCTATCCCCAGAAATGCAGGGAGCACAGCTGTGAAACGTTTCACGGAGTAAAGCAACAACCTTTACAGTTGCAGCCAAAAGGAAATTTTTTTTTTAAACAAAAAATAACCCAACAACAAAAAACGTTGAGGAATTAGGGAAAAAAGTCCCTTTGGCTGCCATCTCAAAATTATATGGAGATAGGCCCTAGGAATAAGTGAAGTAGAAGAAAGCAGATGATTTTTAAGGCTTCCTGAATAACGGTGACAGGGACAAAAATCAAACACCCAGCCCCTAAGTGCCACGGCACGAGCTTTCAGGTGAGATCCAGAGCGCAGAAGTAAAGGCTACGCGAAAAATTCTGCACTTAAACACTACCGGCGCAAAGAGGATCCGACTTTGCCTTGGTGTTGGTATGTCACCTGGCTGCTTTGCGGCTAACTCGTCACATCCACAGTGACATCAATCACTTCTGTGATCATACGTGTGACACAGATGTTATTAATGCAAGGATCCTTGGGGGAAATAAAAAAGCAAGGAAGAAATCAAGCCGTTGTTTAAAATGACCTCATACAGGACCAAAATCTTGGCTGAACTTCTTGCATCCAGTACCAGTATTTTAAATAAATTTGCTTTTAAGTACATTTCTAGTCAGGAGGAAGATGAAGTTTGTCCTTACTCCAAGTTTAAAAACTCAGAGGGCAAAACAGCATTGGGAATATCAGCAGCTTTGAACTCTGTTGCTTCAATTAACATCCTGTTACTACTGTCGTGCTACCAAAAGACTGGCACTGTATTTCGTGTGGAAACCCCGTTTTTGTTAACCTGACGCATCATTACCTCACTCTCCCACTCTTTACTTGTGCAGTGCCTTTTGAGTTGCAACTCTTCTGGAACAGGAAAGCCCAGAGGAATGGTTAAGGTTCTGTTATGCTGGCAACCTACTGTTGAGGGAAGACCTTGGAGCAAATACGATTCGTCTTTATTTTACACCGAGACTCCAAACAGCTCTTTTGAGAGGGATCACTTGCGCAGTCTCGCAGGCAGGTAACGTTTTTCGACAAGTGTTAGAACTGTAACCCTATTGAAAGCACCGAAAGCCAAGCATTAGCTCCAAAGATGTACTTTATTTCATTATAAAGCAGATTGTTTAGGCATTATTTCTTTTTGTGAACATCCACCGTATGATCAGCAGGTCCTGCCTCGAGGACATAGCTGCTTGATAACAAAGATTTCACCACTAGACAACAAAAATACAGATGCATAGAACAAGTGCTGCTTAGACGCTGAAGAGCTAACGGTCTAAACCGCAACCAGTTCAAACAGATGATGTGACCAAAAACACAAGTACAGCTCCAGCCCAGCCAAAGCTGCATCCCCAAAAGTGGAGTCCTCTTTATTTCAAAAGAAAATTTGTATTGGGTTTCCTGGAAAAACAACAACAGCAATCCCCAACGCAGAAGAACTTCCCTCTCCTTTTAAAGTCACTTTTTAACTGTCCCTTATTTCACACCAAACTTGTGCTGTGGCACATTAGTACTTTATGAAAGACAGAAAAGTTATTGAATGTAGTGTGAAGTAATAGTGAAGGGTTGGTAGAGAACAATTCGCGGATACTTTATCCCAATACTTTTGTTCCTTTTCCAATTGTGATCCTCACCCCAGGAGTTTCACTTTTATTGACAGGCGTGTCTCATTCCAAATTTGCCGATTTCTCACGCGTTTGGTATTTGAGCTCAGTGCATTAACAAGGGCTTCTGGATGTCATCTGTGCTCCTTGGGTACGTAACAGAGTCCCATCACTCCAAGCAGAAACAGTAATGCGTATACTGTCAGCCCAGCACGCAAAAAAGCACAGAAGGCATGTTGACGCGGCGTAGAGAAACACTCCAACATTAGAACTCCTCATTCTGGTTTCCACATTGTCCAATACTGATTGAGGAAAAGTGTATTTACAAGACTCGTACACAAATATTTGCATTTGGTCCTAGGCACCTGATTAGTACTGACAATGTAAATTAAAATGGAAAAAATCAAGTGTTATTCTGGTCCATTAAAGCCTTTTACTGCAACTTCTCCAATTTGAAGGTGTGATCTTCAAAAAAAAAGGAGGAGTCCCAATACCTTCTGAAAAAGCACTTCGCTATGCACCGTTCGAGTCAATGAGATTACAGGATGGAAAAGCCTTCTACATAAGCAACTTCGAGTTAGCTGACAAGGGGCTCACAGCTAGATCTATAGAAACAGACAAGGAGCATACATTCTTCTCGCTCCTTTGCGGCAGCGAGCCTCAAAATTCACCAGCTATGAGTGGTCAGATAACATCCCCGTTGCTACAAGACCAGAATTTATTATCGATGAGAGAAACTTAGCTTTAGCAAAGAGCACGAGCAGATTTGCATCTAAGCGGCCATAACATCCATTTCTTTCAGCTAGCATCAGAACTAGAAGTACTACCCCTAACGGCAACAAAAACTAACTAGAAGGTTTTACAAAGCTGCCAGGATGACCAAGTTTCAAAGTTGCGACTCTTAGGCACAGACTCGGGCAGAACCTAGACTGACCTGAGTTTTCTGCTTCTGGAGGAAGGGTGGTGGGAAAGAACACGTTCCCATCTTATACCGAAACTTGACAAGTCTCAAGCCAATATTCAACGTCTGACAAGGTCTAGCGTAGTCATTACAAGACAAAACATTTGGAATTAGAGCTAACGTTTAGTAAAAAGAAACAACTGCCTTCCAAATCTGCCATACTGAAAAAAATAACCCAAACACAAAACCGAACATATTAAACACTGTTTGTGCTTACAACCATAATTATGGAACTTGAGCATTAGAGGGAGAGATTTTTCTCACCACTACTGCAAAGCAGCTGCAAAAACAAGTTACATGGAAAAAAATCCCTTCCAAACATTCATTTAACAAACATTTATTAAAACCTGTAAAGGTTCAGGTACACTAAATTTGAAAGGGGCTCAAAAAAATTTCAAGAGTCATCGAACTAAATCCAATTCAGAAAGCTGATTCTCCTAACACAGAATTAAAAAACAATTTTCTTAAAAAAATTTTTTTTGCACATTTTTCCTCATCAATTTATAAAATGCAAACAGTATGCTAGAAAAGTTTGAACATAAGGGAATGCGCTTTGGAAACATTATTAAAATATGTGTTCCTATAGAATGACATTATCAAGTTTACGTTACTTCTGTTCACCTGACTGGATATATTTGGAGAGTGTTCCTCCCCTCTTTCCGGGGTCCATGAGAAGCTCGGTTTAGAAAAGAAGAGCTCCCATACTGCCAACTTCACTCTGTTCCTTTACAAAAATTTCAAAGTACTGATAAATGATAGTGACAGCGAGCAAAATTCCAGTTCCAGACCCAATTGCCCCAAGGAAGTCTGCCAACACAGAGAGGGCGCCAATACAGAGACCACCAAACGCAGCAGCCGTAGGGATGTACCTGTAAAGCACAAAATGAGAATAGAAAAGGTGCCGTTAGTTCGCTCATGGTATTAACAAATACGGTTAGCGGTATATGGCATCTACGGAAAGTATTTAAATCGGAGGCAGGTTTTTTTCCTAGAAAACCAATCCCACTGAGAACAGAAGTAGCACTACAGAAATAATCTAATCAGGTGGTTAAAAAAACAAGAATGAAACTACATGAATGGAAAAAAGTCAATGGCAGAACACTCTCTCCTCTCATGGGTCTACAATCCCAGATAAGGAACGTGCAACAGTGCCAGCATGCCAGCTGAGGAACTAAAAAGCTCAATCTGACTGGAGGGAAGAAAATGCTAAGCTAAGAAGAGAAGGTATTACAGTCTACCATGCAATTAAGCACAAAGATTAAGCTTATGGCTACCAGCTCTTCGAATCATTTGCAGATGACTGAAATCTAAAGTTATGATAACATTTCTGTAACAGGAAGGGTGCACAGGTCCTACCCTGCAATTCGAAAACCTAGAGAGCCCACCCCTGCCTACCTCTGCCTCTAGTACACTTAAGTAACTACTTGTTTTAGAAGCGAGGTCTGCGTGAAAACAATAGTCAAGACATAGTAACACCTTAAAAATTACAGTAAAAAATACTTGTGCATCAGTTTGAAGTAGTAAAGTGCACTCAAAAGCTCATTATTAGCTATCCTCTAAAAAGCATAAAAATGAAAAAAATATAACCGGAAAACACAAGCTCCAGAATTTAAGGCACATTCTCCGATTGTAAGGCAAGAATATGCTGTACTATACAAGTCTTCCATTAACGAGAAGAATTCCATTCTGTGTCTCATGCATGCAACATTGAAGGTGAAAGAACATCTGTCTTCTAGGATCTAGAAAATGGAAGTCAAAGCCAAGTTTGCCACATGTTTCCCCACAACACTTTGCATAAACAGCCTGTGAAACGCGTAGCTCACCTGTTTAGTTCATGTACCATTGAAGTTTCTCTGTGGCCTCGCATTACCATTTGTTGTTCTTTCAATTGTTTGGCAACCTGTATCGAATCAAGAACGGAGCAAGTAAGTTTAGCGTCACTTGCCAAGGCCGTGGAACTTAGTACAATGGGAAAACAGAAGCAAGACATTTCAGTAAACGGTGGTGGGTTTGGGGTTTTTTTGTATTGTTTGGTTTTTTGGGTTTTGGTTTTTACATTATTCATCCGAGTTTAAAATATCCAGCATTTTAACTTCAGACAGATTGCAGTCACAGGCACTTTTCCACACTGTCAATGACACGAAGCTTTTTTGGATAATTCTAGTCCCATTGAGAAAAGGAAAATCTGGAAATTGATAGGCTCTCACACACATAATTCAATTCCTGTTCTGCCACCTCCCCTTCTCCTGGTTAGGGTTTAGAAGATGTTAGCAAAACCATCCTATGAAGTGTCCACTCCATTTCAGTTTCCCACATTCAGCGGAGCTAACTATTTCTTTGTGGGGCCATTTTAGAAACTATACGACTTAGAAAGAATCCCTTCTTGGAACATTATTCTTAAATTGGATTTCTGCAATTGTACAGGGTTACAATAGAGCCCTGCAAACATTTCACTAACAACTGAGGGGAACTAAAACTCTAGCAGGGAAACTTCTGAAAGTGCTTGTCACTGAATCGAATGTACCGAGAAAACACACTTTCAGATGATTAAGCTACCAGTTTTCCACTACATAGTGAACACTTAAGTAATGATTAATCAATTCTTATTTCTGACCTTGTTTACATGAACTTAAAATAATTTTATTCAGTATCAGGGAAGTACATTAAAGTGTTAAAAGCTGTACGTTGGTTTATACCGAAATCAAAACCTGGCTATACATGGCTGCGAGTGCCTGCCTGCTTGCCTGACAACAAGCAGCTAGATGCAAGTCCAAAACAAGAGAGTGCTCACGCTGTTACAGCAACTGTGCAACTATTACATATTTGTTAAAGAATGGATTAAACCATTCCATGTGGCTGCCAAACTTGACTTCCTACCCAAAACCACACAATGCAAACATACCACAATGACAACTACTTTCCATCTTGTTTTCCAGTTCCAATTTCAGAATGATATAGCTGCTGAATATCAAATATCCTGTAGCAAATGGAAATTTTGAGAAGCTAGGCTCAGGTACACTAATGCACTGCACTATATTCTCTGTTATCAGTGCTCTCAAGTTAAAAATAACAACCTCTTGTTAATCTTCCCCCAAAAAAAGTTCAGAACTCTCTATGCCAGGCATGGGTATTCAAGCTTTACCTGCACATTCTTTAAGCTTTACCTGCAAACTGCCCTGCGTACAGTGCATCTGTCATTTGGCCCTGAAAGAGTTTCTGCCTTTCCCGTTACCTTGCCTGCCCTCACACTGATCAGATGTTACATAGCAATGTTCGAAGTTCCTTAATGCCAATGAAAGCAATTATTTGAGTTTTGCTGTTGATGTTTTTGAAAAAGCAGTAAAGAAAACAGGGGAAAAAATTACTCTGATTCTGCCCTCACCCTCCCCACTTACCCAAAAGACATAGTTGCTGTTTATACAAACGATAAGTATTACCAGCAAGATTACCAGCATAATAGCTATTTCAGAAGAAAGTCAGTCTTGTTCTGACAACAGCCCATCTGTTTTCATCATGTACGCTTACATAATTTATCATTTTAAACTTACATCTTTGGCAGAGGAGCCAGAGACTTCAATCCATGTCTTAGAGAAGAAAGCACAGGAGCCCAACATAAATACAATATAAACAACTGCATGTACAGGGTCTTCTAACACTGAAGAAAAGGACTCTGGAGGTGAGAGGTAATAACAAAGTCCACCAACTGGATAAGCACGAGCAGGGCCTCCAGATGACGTGTCCTAGAAGGAGGAAGCAAGCAGTCACCAACTTTCTCACTATTTCTTAGCGATTAAGCTAAGCCTGCATTTATATCACCTTCACGTCACTGTGTAGCATTACCACTACAGCATCACACAAAGGTTCAGATTTATTATCACAAGCAGTTTCTAAAGTGGAAACGGAATACAACAAGGAACACCAAAAATACCTAGGACAGCAAGGAACAGCCCAAGGTAAAAGGTAAATGGAGACTTAACATCTACACTCATCACAGCAGGTCTTGTACTCTGCTATTAATTTAAACAAATTACTAGTTTCGGCGTTTCAGTGTACATGACCGCCTGTAGAAGTGTGCCTTAATATTTAGAGACCATCTCTTCAACCACGCATTTTAATGGTGCTCTTATATGTAAGATTAGAAGGAATACTCACAGACCAAGTGCCCAGCAGGCTAACCAGTAAGTTGCCACTGAAGCGAGCAGAAAGCATCTGGGAGATGACGTACAAGTTTGACACCAGGGCGGACTGAAGAATAATGGGAATGTTGGAAGTATAGAAGAGCTTGATAGGGTAGGTGTTGTACTGGCCGCGGTAGCGAGCAGATTTGATAGGAAGATCCACTCTGAAGCCCTGGAAAGTTTTCAACAGAAAGTCCCCCATTATATCTGGACATCAACCCATACCGCAGGTCATGAATGGCAAGCGGAAGGCCTTGACAGCAACAGAAAAAACCCTGCAATCATTTTGTGCAAGTACACATACTCTACCCAGAGGGCTATCCACGCAAACACTTCTGCCAAGCAGCGTTATCTAAACTCACCCATGTAAGAAGGTATGAAAGACGTAGACATCAGAAGAAATCTGAAGTGTCAAGAAGACTGAACATAGTGTCCAGGAAAAGAAACATTAAAACATTCTATATTCTTCAGCAATTTGCTGCAACAAACAGCAAGAGACATACAGGCTTAAAGACTTCAAAGTATTTTCCAGCAAAAAGCAATAGCATTTGGGTTAGGCAATATTACACGTACACTTTTTTTTCAGAGACCAAAGTAGGTCTCAAGTCTTTCGTGTGGCTACAGTAAGCGTGTAAACTGTTTAAGAGAAGCTAGTGTTAAATGAACATCCAGATGTTGCAGGTACAAAAATGAGTCTTCTGAAGGCACTAGAAAGGCAAAATATAGTTTCCTGTAGAAGGAAGCAGATTACAGATCTACTTCCATACAAACAGTTTTACAGTCCTCTTTAGTCCAACTGACCTGGAAATAAATTACAATAGCAAAGACAAAGATGGTGGCAATCAGATTCATCAGGTTGGGGAGATTCTGACGGTAAAAGGCCTCACGAAGAGCTCTGACTTTGTCTGTACGAGTAGCCAGAAGATGGAACAGAGCGATGATGGCTCCCTCAAATTCCATGCCTTGGAAAGGAAAAGAAAAACCAAGTTAGGTCTGCTGTGATTATCTCCAAACTTCAGTGTGTTGTCTCATTAGGCATACTGCTGAACTACAGGATTCAGAAGGGGATTTCTCCAAGTCTTTTTCATCTTGAGCATGCTCTCAGACTTTTACTACTGTCATCCTTCATATCAGCTATATTATTTCCAAGATTTTTTTTTTTTAAATCCCCCTGTAGTGGCCTAGAAACTAAATCACAGCCCAACAATCAAATGGGATAACTTTACTGGTCTCCAGAAACATTGACATTCACCAAGTTCTTTCCCAATTTAATAAAATTAAAATAAACGAGGGAGGCAGCACGCTTTCTAGTATCGTGCATGGTGAGACACCAGTTATTGTTTGTATTACAGCAAACGTGATAACCTCACTTAGGTTTTCTACTAGACAGCACCAAACAAGATCACCTCCTGTCAGGTTTGGAGACTCAGGTCTTTGGGGCAAAGAGGAGGACATGCAAGGAGCAGAAGGAAACAGATGATATTTGTCAGTAAGTTGGGCAGCAGCTGTAATTCAACAGCAGTCTACCATTATTGCGTTTTAACGGAAGCACTGTAAGAAATTCAAGTTGAGGAAATATCTTGCGAGATACTACAAAATTAAAAAGAAATGTCTTTGTACTTGCACCTTGCATAGGAGCACTTGCTGTATTAATAAGATTCACTACATGGCAACTACATAGCTAAGATGACAATAACAGCATTTCCCAATTAAGTTAACATACTGCAAAAAAAGATTTTGCCTTTTTGTACAAAATTAAGACTTTTATACAACTGACATTTTTATATTTTAAATGATCATTTTGCTATTCTATATCAGAATGTAAAGAGTTGGAATTTTAAAACAATATAGGGGGGAAGCTACTTCGGTTTTTAATGTTTCATTGGATAAATAATTCAATCCTAATGCAAGTAAAGAAAACGGACTATGCCGTATTACCTCGCCCGGTGTTCACCGTGGTGGGGCTGAATGCCTTCCACACAATAGTCTCACAGATATTGGTAGCAATGAAGAGAGAGATGCCAGAACCAAGACCATATCCTTTCTGTAGGAGCTCATCCAACAGCAGAACTATCAATCCAGCAACAAAAAGCTACAGTAAAAAAAGAAATACAGCATTAGTCCCATCCCTTTTTCATTTTTGTTAAGAAGTTAACTTGTACTAAAAGGAAAGACTATATATACGAGGAAGCAGGCACACTTTGATCTTTTTTCCTCTGCATGTGGGGCAGGCAGTCCGTAAGGCTGGTTTTTTTGATTCTTTCAGAGGAAGAATAAGTAGAGAGGACTAGAAATTACCTGAATTGTGATAAGCAAGCAGATACCAGCACCCATCTCAGATGGGTCTCCATACATTCCAGTCATTACATAGACAATAGACTGTCCGATGGTAATGATCATTCCAAACACTGTAGAATACAAAAAAAAAAAGGTATGTATTTGTTCTGGAGATTTATGTCAGTGGGCAATTAGAGAAATATAAATCACTTCTTTGTAGAGAAAGCTGGGAAAGAATACATAAGTCACAGGTTGTTTAAATTCAAGGGCAAGTTAAGTTTGTTGTCTGAAATCTGGCACTGAGAATACAAATACACACAGACACTTCAGAAACAAATACACTTAAGCAGCAAGTGGGTTTGCTTACCAAAGGTTGCTTTACATATTGAAAACTCTGAGGGTGTTAAGATATTACCTTAGCATTTTATGATTCTGTTTTCCCCAGTATAAACAGATCAGTAGGTTGTGTGGTACAGCACAGAACAGCTAAAGAATACTCAAATTTTTCTAAAAGCCATTTACCAAGGAAGCACAGAGATCTCTTATTGCTGAGAAAGAACCATGCTTGAAACCGCAAGGTAAAAACAACTATAACAAACATCTCGATCAACTCTTTTATGTTAACACTGACCAACGCAGTTCAAAGGTTGGGTGCCCACAGTCTACATATTGCTTAGTTTATCCGATGAGATTACAGCAGCAATGCCAATTGCAGTTACTTTTCCTGAACAAACCTACCTGAAGCTTAACAGCTAACAAGGCAGAGAGCAGTCACTAGAAGACTAATGAAAGACAGAAATCTGTAGCACAGCATGAACACATAGCATGACAGAAACCCATATGTCTGACTCCAACATTCATCACACGGTAAGTTTACACTTCCTATTGTTAGGGTTAGATACTTGAAAACATCAGCCTTTGATATCAGCTGTTACTTACATTTCTGTGCTCCGTTGAAGAGAGCTCTGTCCTTTGGGGTGTCACCAACTTCAATTATCTTGGCACCTGCCAAGAGCTGCATGATGAGCCCAGAAGTGACAATAGGTGAAATACCCAGCTCCATCAACGTACCTGCCAGACACAGGAAGAACAATGAAAGAAAATAACGGGGCGTACCATACCCAGGCACCTTCGAAATTCAAAGTTTGTTTTTTCCACTCCTTACATCAGAACGGAGAAGATATAAAACTCCAAACCTCCATATACACAAAAGGCTTCAATGATAACAGAAGCTTGTTAAAAGTCAGTCTGGTAAGTAATGCAGTGCTGCTCAGCACCTTAAAAACTGTTTGCTGAAAAAGACTTTTGCTGTCAGGAACAGATTTACTCTGCATAAAACAAGGTAGGAATTTGCTTTCTGCCTTTGACAATCTTTATTATTCGCAATTTTAAACAGGAAAACGCAAACTTTTTTCAGGAGCGTACCAAGTTGCACACATGCATCTATGCACATCTTATTATGATATAAACCAGTCGATAGCCCAAGTGATATATGATGACAAAGTGAATTCAGGAAACTGTCATCATTCTTAATTCATACCTGCGTTAGAAGGCCTCTAGAAGAAAGTGAAATTTATACAAACTATCATGAATTTTAGTCTTCTGTCAGACAGACTCAAAGATGTCACCCAGAAAACCAGAACACGTATAATATGGCTTGAAACATGAATCAAAAAGCTGGAAATCTATACAGAAGATTGCAATGGAAGTGATGCAGGTAATTCTCCCTAACTCTTCCCTAACCTTTTTCCCTCCAAAATGCTCCTTAATTTTTGTACATAATAGATTGCACACGGTCAACCATACACTCATTTCGCCGACAAAGTTGTGCCTTTCCCAATGCCACATTGGTTTATGATTTTACATAATATATAAAGAGTTTTCCCTCTCTACTTGTTTTTCTCTTCGTTAAAAGAGAACACAATGTAAGAACAAGTCCAAAACCTTTTTGATTCAAGCTAAAAAAACTCCCTCCTGAAAGGCTGACCATACCTCTATTTGATGCCAAAATCACTCTCATCCAGTAGAAAGGATCTGCCGAGTCTGATGACATGATACCAAACAAGGGAATCTGCATTTCCAATCAACAGAGGAAAACAGGATTAAATTAGAGACTTCCTAATATTCTTTAAACATTTCAGCTCTTCCTTAAAAACAAGGGAAAGAAACATACCTGGCAGCATACTAAAAAGATGAAGAGTGTGATAGCTGTCCATAGTACCTTTTCCTTAAACTGAATCTAAAGGAGAAAAAACCAAAACACAACAACAACCAAAGATGACAAAGCTGTCAAGATAATAAGATCTCATCAATCAGGCAAATTTTCATAGTAGCTAAAGTGCACTCTTATCTTCTCGTGAAGGGACAAAGTACAGGACATCCTGAAGAAAATAACTCACTCTTCATTCCTTTCATACTATATATGGCCAAAGAAAGTGACAAAGCTTTATTGAAACTTTAATCGAAATAAACAAGCTTCCACCAATGGAAGGTAAGTCTAGTACTTCCATGGACATGAGTCTTACATTTTCACAACAAACAGTTTCTGCTGTGAAAAAAAACAGCGCAGAGAACCTTACCTTGCTATTTTAAACTAGTTTATGCTCCAATATGTACTCCTTTCAACTTCTCACCACTCACTGCTATGGCGTAACCGTATCTGCACAACTGCAGGTACCAGCAAATACGCTCTTGTACAACCATATCCAGAGTACAGGAGGTACTAGACAAGCACTCCACTAAAAACAAGTATGCCTAAAACTGCCGTTCTCCCAACGAGAAAAAAACCCTAAAATCTTGCAAACTAAGCTGTAAACATTTTATACTACACAAATATAGACCTATGAAGAGAATTTTATTAACTTACCTTCCGTTCTGGCTTTTGGATTTCAGGCAGGATAACACAGAAGGGCTTGATTACTTCAAGAAATTTTACTGTAAGGAAATTAGTTAAACGACAAAGTGAACACACAGATACAAAGAACACTGGGAAAAGCTCAAATAAAATTTAATTTGGACACGTAGTTTATATGTTAAAAGTTCCAGTTAAGGACAAACGTTTGTTAGGTTTTTTAAAAATTAAATTATTATCTGTTCTAAATACATCTTACTAGCTGAACCTCTGCGTAAGTACAATTTGGACTGGAAATAGAAAAAAAAAAATGTCAAGAGTTTTCTCCTTTTACCAAGTAGGTTGACAGCACAAAAAAACCTTGCCGTGGTTTTGCACGAGTTTATCAATACACTTGAACTTTATTTCATTGCTTCTCTCCTAGCCTGATATTTGAGAAATACAATACCCAAGACACTTTTAACTCAGGGGTTACTTTTGTCCCATACAGCTTAAGAATTCCCACACACTGTTCATAAGCAACAATTCAAGTTACTTTACAGAACGTCTCATGCAATGATCACCTCCTAGTCAAAAGGCCACATCCTTACATCAGAAAAATAAGTCGTCTCAGTCTTAGAAAAAGCGTACAAAAGAAGAGGGTATCTGCAAAGTCACAAGCTCTCCTATGAGAGGCAATATCCTATCCCTGCTGGCTGGCGGGGGCAGTTCAGTGTTTGCTTTGCCATGCACGTGAGGAGAGAGATCTGATTTTAAACAGCTAATACTAAACTTCTTAAGACAAATCCAAGACTGCACACGTGTTCTGGACTCATTTGAATTAAAATGTGTACGACAATGCAGGAGAACTGAAACTACTGGTGGCTTTCCGCTTCTTTGTGGAAGGCAACAAGCTTAGTGCCAATTTTGTAACACTTTAAGACCAGCCCATAAAAATTATTTATTAATTTCCAGCTATTAATGGCCTGAAAAGTTACACTGCATTGTGGTTTTAAACTTAAACCAAATCGTGATTCTCTCCTACATCTACAATATACAGATTGACTAAGACGCTTTTCAAGCAGCTTTTCCTCGAGGTAACAGTCGCTAAAGACTTCCATTCACTCCCATTAATCCAAGACTGGATTGGAGTTAGAGATTTAGAGTTTACTCTGAAAATATAATTGATTTTTTGGCTTAAAGCGTTATGACCAACGTGACAGCCGGCCTCCCCCCGCCTCGGCCTGGGGTGGCTGGGCTCGGGAGGAGTGCCCGCCCGATCACAGAGCAGGCTCCCTTCCCTGGGAAGATCTGCCATAACCAGGAAACGGGACCTTTAACCGCGAGTGGGGAAAAAAAATATTCCAGAGGGAGCCTCCAAACCAGAGGACGGGAAACCCGCGCAGGGCTGGCCACGGAGGGAGC